GAGGGAGAGGAACAGGGAGAGGGAGAGGGAGAGGGACAGGGAGAGGGAGAGGGACAGGGACAGGGAGAGGGAGAGGGAGGAGAGGAAGCCGACCGAGGGTTGACCTGAGCTTTCATTTCTCAGGAGTCAACGGCATCGTTTTTGAGACAGTCTCTGGGGCTCACAAGGTAGGTAAGACTGATTGACTGCCCATCCAACCCCAGGGATCCTCCTGTGCCCAGCTCCCCAGAGCTGGAACCACAAGCACACACCACCCTGCTCAGCTTTTTATGTAGGTGCTAAGGGGCAAGCTCAGGCCCTCGTACTCGATTGGGGAGCCCTTTATCCACTGAACTAATTCCCCTGCCCATGAATGCCTTCTTGATCACATTCTTCCATTTCCCTCAAATACAAATCATCATCTTTCCTCTTACAAATACGCAGGGAGGGGCTGGAGAGATGGCTCAGCAGTTAAGAGCACTGGTTGCTCTTCCATTGGACACGGGTCCAATTCCCAGCACCCACATGGAAGCTCACACCTGTCTGTAACTCCAGTTCCAGAGCTTCTGACACCTTCACACAGACATACATGCAGGCCAAACACCAGTGAACATAAAATAAAAATATAAATGAACCATTAAAAAATTACAAGAATATGCAGGACATATTTCTAGCCTCCCTCACCATCCTTGTGACAATATCCCTGGTATTACAACTATTTGTATTATACTCCTACTAGTCCTCACAGGACGAACCCCTTTAACAACTTCAGATCCCCTGTGGGTCCTTCAATAAACTGACACACATAAAAAAAAAAAATGTTCTCCATGTTCACTCACGAGTTCACTCCCTGCAGCAGCAGGGAAGTGGCTATGACCTGAGGCTTTGGAGCCCCACCCCAGCTCCAAACTCCTATCCCTGGAGGAAAAAATGCCAGGTGTGTAAATACAAGTTATTAAGGTGTGTCAATGCAAGTTATAAAGATCTGAGGATGTGAAAACTTAAACTGTGATAAGAAAGTGATTTAAGGTATATAAAAAGAATGAAACGTTCCAGATTTCTTTCCCTCGCTAAACTACTGCTGTATTAAGACTCCAAAACTTTATTACTAACTTATCTATTAATGTCAAGTCTTAACATTAATAGTGGAATTCTGATAAGCTTTTAATCTAGCTCTGTTAAATACCACTACCATTATTATAGTCACAAGTTCAAGATTCTAAGTCCCCTCTGGATATTTTCTAAGTATAGACTTAAAAGTGCTTCTCATTGTGCTAAAACCATGTTCCATCTATATATACCCGGTCTTCTGGACAGAGGAAAGAGTGCTAATGCTTTAACCAGAATCATTTCTGGGTCCCCTGTGGCTCAAAGGCATGAGTCTACTGTTTTTTCTACAATGTGGATTTCAGTACAGATTACAAACAGTGAGAACATTAATGTGTCTAAAAGTTAATGTATCTAAAACTTACTTCTTTTTGTAAACTCAGAAAATTCTGGAAAGCTCCAGCTTCAAACAGGTCATCAAATGGACTCCAGATAAGTACCATCGATCAATAGCCTAAGGGTCCTCACCTACTGCCTGCTCCTGAGAGTGGGATCTCCTCTTCGCCTTTCCCTGGTCTTGGGACCCCACGCCACCACCCCCTCTCAATTACCAGGACCTAAGAAAAGAAATTTCCCCCTAAAACCCCTTAACTTTATTTTCTGCCAGGTCCCCTCATAATCTGCATCCTGGACAGCTTCAAGATGGCTGCCCCAAGTGGTCCAACCTCACAGCCTGCTTCAAGTAGGCCTGCGCTTTCCTAGATCAGACGGTCTCACAGAGCCTGGACAGCGAGTGAACAGCGGCTATCCCAGGACTTGGACAGCATCCCAGCTTTCTCAGGGCCCCCACTGAGCCCCAGACAACAGGAAGCAGTCTAGAGAGCATGGCTCCCCCAGTTCCCACCAGCTACCCGTTCTATTTCCTCACCTTCTTATAAAAACAAAAGGGAGGAATGTTAGCTGGCAGCTGCAGCTGCAGAAGCAGCGGAAGCAGCAGCAGAAGCAGAAGCAGAAGCAGCAGAAGCAGCAGCGGAAGCAGCAGAAGCAGCAGTAGCAGCAGTAACAGCAGCAGAAGCAGAAGCAGCAGAAGCAGAAGCAGCAGCAGTAGCAGAAGCAGCAGAAGCAGAAGCAGCAGAAGCAG